ACAAGAGAAGAACCCTCCAGGTACAGTGAACATTTCCCTTTGGATCTTAACCCTTTACACTCTAACATCAGTATAGATACTCTCCATACTGTTTTCTGTACATTTCCTGTGGTGCTGACAAGGAGAATATGTTTAACATTCTGGAGCTTTTTAAATTGGTGATCATTTCTTGTATTGTCATGACCTTTACATTTGATTCAAGGGTGATACTGTGAGGAGAAATTAGATGCCAGTCACTCATAGGGGTTAAAGGATTATGTGGTCATGTCAACAGTTCAGCTTTTGTGACTGGAAGTGGTAATTGCAGGGTAGTGATTTGTGGGGGTGTGTGTATAATTAATTGACCACTCCCCTCAGGAGGCTTTCAGGGCAAATACAGACAAATTGAAAAATTGTGAATAAATGGAGTGTTGAAAAGCCCTAAAAGGCAGAAGGTAGACTAGTTGGCTATATACAAAGTGCAGCCAAGGAGTTCAACCCAGAAGAACCATAACAAATCCAGAGAGTGGGAGGGTGGAGGGCTTGAACTGGGACCATCAGATTACAAGACTAGGGCCCTTAACCACTTGGCCACACTGCCTCCATAATCAGATGTGACAATGCTAGAAATCATTAAAAAAAAAAGTGAATGTAAACAAGGAATTAAAATGTTAACATACTGAAAGTACTGAAATTTGTTTTACTTTGACTAACACACTATAATTACTTTTATTTTTTGCAGAGAAATGACATTGCTATGGCAATTACCAAGTTTGATCAATTTGATTTTCTCATTGATATTGTGCCAAGAGATGAACTCAAACCTCCTAAGCGACAGGTAGTGATTAGTGACTGTCATAAATTTGTTTTATTAATATACTCTTTCAAAGGAAGTCTTGACATACTTAAATTGACATAATTATAGCAGAGCTCACAGAGTGTGGCCCCATAATTATACAAAATAGTAGTAACCCATCAAGCCGAAAAAATTTGAATGTACGACCATATGACCGTACAACCATACAACCGTACAAGGTGCTACTTTTAACATGTGTGGTCAACTGTACTGCGGGCATGCCAACACCATGGCTTTGTTCAGAAGTCCAGTGGTCAGTGCACTGGGCTACGAGTCAGACGACCCACACTGTAGTCCTGGCCAGGGCAAGGTGTTGTGCCCTTGAGACGTGCAGGAAAAAAAAATGCGAGCTCCGCTTTTAGGCTTGGCTAAATCTATATATTACCAAGACATACATGACATACTCACATGTATGCATGAGTAGAATTATTACTCAGGAATATGAATAAACAAGTAGAGTGTATGTTTGTGGGCATATATATGCTCTGGACCCTTCTCAGAGTCATTTTAACCTTGCCTAACGGCTCAGGTTGAAATGACTAAGAAAGGTCCAGAACTTAATCATGCTTAGCAACATTAACTGTTTAACTACTACAATAACCTTGGAAGGCATTGAGAGAATAAAAAACTGAAAAAGATTTTAAAAAAACAGCCTGAACAATTACACAAGTGTGGGAGTGGGCTAAAATATATTTAGCTTGAAAAATATGCCATAATGCCCAATAAATTTGTAATAATAACTTTAACTGATTTGTGCATTGTAATATTGTCATCTTCATATCAGGATCCAATTCGTCAGACAGTGGTTGCTCCTGATCAAGTTCAGTACTACTTCCACCTTGCCCAACATCATGCAGTTTCAATGCAACAGCAGCAACAACAGCCTCAGCAAGGACAGCAGGCACCACAAGCACAACAGGCGCAACAACAGATAGCAACACAAGTGCAACAACAGCAAGTGGCAGCCAGCACCCAGCCTCAGACTATTATAACTGGTGTGCCAACACAGCAAATTGTCACCATGGCAGTAAGTTACATTTATCCCCAGGAGTAGCAAAAGTTTCACAACATTTTGATAAAATTTAATGGTTCTGATTAAATCATGGATGTAAGAACAACTTTACAGTGTATGTGGAAAATGTTAATTCCTGCCAAAAAGTAAAAATGGCAAGGAAGCCCTTCTTAGCAATGTGCATTCATTCATGCATCTTTTGTTCCAGCCTGGACAGGCTCAGATGCTACAGAACCAACCACAGGAACAAAGTGATGTTCAGTATCCGGTTAGTAAAAAGGCTACTACTTTACATGAATTACAGTCAACTCGCCGATGGTCCAACTCACCAACGCCAACTCGCCGACATATAAAATCGAGTAGAGACGTCGGCGAGTTGGTCCTCAATCCAATACAACTTAGTTGACTGGATACCCTTTACATGATATTTGAGATCTATTTATTTTTTCCACCAAATGAGTATTTTCAGGCTTTTCTTATGATTGTAGGGATACAGCCCTAACCCTCCTGAACACAAACCTAAGAGAAGAACTGCAAATTGGATACCTCACAATCAGCAAGAATAAGGTTTATAAACTGGGCTTTGGCATTCCAAATTGTCTGAGAGGGTTTTGGTTATCCTTGGGGTTATTGATGTCAATACACTCAGTGAAGTCCACAAACAGGGACAGGGGGGAAGTTTTTTTTATATCTTTTTTGTAATGTAATTGGACTACATGTATCTTGTAACAATCACAGGGTTTTCTGTCAGTTTTTGTAAGCTTGCGCATGGCTTTGCCTAAATTTCTCACGAGAGAGAAGATCACCACGGAATTAAGAACATGGCAAGGCAAATCCTGCCATTGTTGTTGACATCACTGTTACAACTGTACATTGTCAATGTTCAAAGTACAAATTTAAAAGATGGTTAAGAAAATCATAGATAGTTTAATCAAGCAAAGTTATGTTCCTCTGATGAACAATTATCACTCTTAATTGTTTTACCTCTGTTATCAACAGGTCCATTTTAACTCTCCACAATTGCAGTACCTCCGTATGCAGCAGATTCAGCAACTTCAGCAACAGCAACAACAACAGCAGCAGGCACAAGGCCAACAACAAGCGCAACAAACAACCCAACAACAACAGGCTGCACAACAGCCTGCACAAACAACTGCTGAACAGGCACAACAACAGGCTCAGCAGCAAGCGCAGCAGGCCTCTGCTCAACCAACGGAGTTTACATTCACTGCTGGAGGACAGGTAAAAAATGACGCAGGTCAGAGGTATTATTTTAAAGGGGGTACGTTTCTAAAGAAACTGTGGCGCTGCGTCGGTGGAATAGTAAAACAGGGTAATTTATTATTATCAATTGAGTTGATAACGTAAATTGACCACCGTAAAGAGTTTCAAAGCTGACTTTACGATCGTTAGCCCTTCGTTAGGGCTTAGAAGAGCTTTAAACAATTTGCTATATATTTTCATCATAAAAAATACTTGACTTAGAAAAAAGACTTACATCCATCGTGAGGCAAGTGAGTACATTTCTCTTTTGAAATATCATTCAGTGTGTGTACCCTCTTGTTTTTTTTTCACTACTAACAGATTTACCAGCTTCAGCAACATCCACACACTGGCGTTACTGCCGTGGCTGTAGCAGCACCACAGGGAACTTATATTCAGCAGCAAGGCGCCACAGCAGAACAAGCCTCACTCACAGCTACTGAAGCACAGCAACAGCAATAGGAAGGTAACTAAACCGCACTTAACCTTTTATAATATAACACATTAAATGTTTATAGAATTTCAGTCAACAGATTGTACCTCAATATGCGACATGTAAAAAGTCGTGTCAGAGTTTCCTGAGTTTAAACTCACTTTTTAATTGGAGATAGAGCATCTACATTCGAAAGACTTGCTTCAAAGCTCTCAAGTTAAAAAATTATTAAAAAAAAAAAAAACGAAAACGTTAAAGTACAAATTAAGACACGAATTTTTGGTTTATTATGTAAAGATCACGTTCCGATGAAAAACAAAGGATGTTGATCATTAGCGTCGTAAGATGAACTTATCTTGTAAAACTTTACGGCGTGGCATCCCAAAAAGGTTCTGCAAAGTAGACTAAAGGGAGGAGACTAGAGTGCTTTTTGAATGAGTGTCACAAAGCCAAATCCAAAGCAATCCCAAAAGCCAGTCATTGCAAGGAGAATATCATTATGAGCCAAAGGGAGATCGAAGTAAAAGCAAACAAACTACTTGAGGCGCGGGAAAACGCGGGTGACCAAGTCGTGATTGGCTGTAGATTTTAATTTGATTGTTTTAGAACAACTGAAGTACCGTGAGTTTTCTGGGCCAATCACGTAACGAAGTAAAGGAAAACCAAGGCAATGAATTGACACTCAATTGGAAGTTCCTTTAATGTCCACTATTTGATTTAATTTTCGCTGTTTGATTTTTCTTTTCCAGGTTGTTGACATTTTGAGGAATCCACTCTAAATTTACTAGAAATGGAACAATGGAATACACTCTGCTCATGTATATAACGGCGCTGTTAAACATTGGCGTGACGATGTGCTACTGCAGATACATCAAAGTGAACTAATTTATTTTTGCTGCGATTACTGCCGCTGGCTACAATAATATTTTATAAATATTTTACACATGTTATCACGCAATCGGATAGAATATATAACGAGAAAAAGCCAAAAGTCTGGATAGGGTTTTCTTTTCCCTCAGAGTTCAGTGAGAGAAAAGAAATCCAAAGAGTTAAACTTTTTAGGATCAATGTCAGTATCTGGGGAACTGTGCACCAACCCCTCCCCCCCTAATCGAAAAGTCACTCTTGTTATCAGTTGACTGTTGTTGGGTTAGGGGTGGGGTAGGTGTGCAGATGCTTAGATACTGACAGGGATCCACAGTTTGCAAGAGAGTAGGAATATTGAGTAAAAATATTTACGTGGAAGTACGGTATACAGTCTGTAAAGATTGGTTTCCAAATTATATCAGAGAGCATTTATTCGTTTACCGTTTTAACTTTATCATTTTACAACAATCACCTTTGACGAGCTGAAACCAATCAAAGGAAAGATATGAGAGTGTTCAACCCAACCATATTCAAAGTCTTAAAAGTTTTCGGAAATACATTTACTAACGCGATTTTTTTTGTGCATGTTTTTTCACCCCTTGGTATTTATTGAACTTAAATTTACCTCCTACATAACCAGAACTTCAAGAAGCTCTTATCTCGCTATATTCTCCTTTTCAACTCAAAGAAAAGGAAAATATAGATAGAAGACACTAACCTTAAACTTCTTTAGTCAAGGCAGCTTGTAGTTCATCAAGACCTACCACTTCCTAAGTGATGTCAAGGTACTTTGCCTCTGCTGCCTAGAGGAAAATCCTCTGTCTTTATCCCCTCTGTCTTCGATAGAGCGGTTTTTAATTGAGTATCGAAAATAATCCTATACTGCTTTGGTCTTGCGTTACTTCGCTCTTTGATTGGTTCAGAAATCTCACGCCACCATCTCAACCAATCAGATGAAAAACGTAAACCAATCCCAACTGTGTAACTCGCGTTTTCCCGCGATTGAAGCGGGTTGCTTATTTTACTTTGAGTTCTCATTGATTAATGATGACATTAACCTTCGTTCTGATTGGTAGATGTGATAACTTTGATTTTGGCTTTTTCACACAGTAACACGTTGGTTATTTATCTTTATCCCCATTCTCCACTAGTTGAAAGTTCTTATGGCTGTTTATGAATCGTCTGGCATCGATCGTGCTTTTATTTTGGATTGCTCTATAACATTACTTCTTTAATTGTGTCTTGTATTATACCTTTACTAAGCGTAAACATTCATGTACTTTTTTCTTTTCTGTATATCAGCCAATATATATCTTTTCTGAATCATCTGGCATCGATCGTGCGTGAAATTTTGAATTACTCTATAGCATTACTACTTTAATTGTACCTTTACAAAGCGTAAACATTCATAGCCTTTTTTCTTTTCTGTATATCTGCCAATATATATCTTCTCTGAATCGTCTGGCATCGATCTTGGTTGAAATTTTGGATTACTCTATAACATTACTACTTTAATTGTACCTTTACTAGGCGTAAACATTCATAGCCTTTTTTTCTTTTCTGTATATCAGCCAATATATATCTTCTCTGAATCATCTGGCATCGATCTTGGTTGAAATTTTGGATTACTCTATAACATTACTACTGTAATATTACCTTTAGTAGGTATAAACATTCCTATACTTTTCTCTATATATCTGCTTTCCTCTTATTCTTTCCTCTTTTCCTTTTTTGTCAAATCTTTGTGTCAAATGACCGCTATTTTTATTATGCATTAAAAGCTATTTACAACTTCACTGGAAAGATTTCGTGCTTTTTTTTTTTCAGCGAAAAATGGCTGTTTCTAGCGCTCTGACTTGGTGCAAGTAGACCTGTGAACATCTAACTCATTCCCCATCGTTTGCGACACATCTCTTCTTTTGATATTTACGAGCGAGCACAAGAAAGATGTGCGCAGAGTGTCTATGCTCTGCAGTGCTGCTGCGCATTCATAACCACCAAATCTGGAACTGCGGCGAGTTAGAACGAACATAATATGGTGTTGTTAGTTCGTGTTGCCACGTATACGCCCTGTAAGTTTAGACTCAAAACCGGAGGAAGACTGGTTCTCGAGTACGACTCCATAAATGCTCGTAGACTTTCCGGGCGATAAATCATTGTAACGTAGACCGTAAAAGTTAAAGATATCTCGGGAAGTGTGTTCCCGAAGAGCGAATAAGCGAAACGGAGTGAGTCGTACCACGAAAGGAAACTGTTTGTTGCATGTTTTGCGAAGAGGTTAACTAGTACGTCGCCACTCGATTGCATCTACCTAAATTTTTCCTCGCTTGCGATTAAGTAAATCTAACGAGGGCTTTCCCTATAAACGTAGCGTGAGTAGCAAAACTGACCAACAGAGGTATTATCGAAGGAGCTATTTCACGCCATATGTTATTGTTGTGAAATAGAAAGGCACAAAAGCACAAAACAGGCGGTATTAAATCAGCAGAGAACACAGATAATTTGGTTTTATCAGCTGGGTTGATAATGTAAATTTGTAAAAGTAAAGAGTTTTTAAAGCTGACGTTTTTCTATCGTTAGCCCATTATCAGAACTCAGATGATACAGGATGGGGAAGATTGGATGGGGAAGATTGGAACGGATTGCAAACAAACTTGAAAAATATAGGTTAAATTTTTCAAGATACACAAACTGTGACGTAACTTATTTGAAATCCCGGGTATGAAATAATAGAAAAACTGAATTTACTCTGTTTTAAAGCTAAAGAAAACTATTTCAATCCTTCTATCAAACCTACTATGCTGTACTTTTATCAATATGTGGTCTTAGACAAACTCTTTTAACACGAACAGAAATGCGAAGTCTTCATACGAGTGGGGATTGGGCGGAACCTGATTTTTGACACCATTCCCCTCTCTATTTTCTTTACACCGCTATCTTCCTCTTGCGTCAAAGGAAATCTTTGAGAAAAGACTCTCACCAAGTTTAAGCTTACATTACCTCGTTATTGACTTCTTTGTTCAAATAAAGGAAATAAGTAATGAAATTGATGTTTATTTTGAGATAAATTAGACAATTTTATGCAAATTTAACATAACAGGATGAATGTGATTGCTTTAAAAAAATCTCTTACACATACACAATTTTGAAACAGTTATTTCGAAATTGTTTAGAGGTTAAGTCTACAGAGGTCAGGGGTGGTCAATAGCTTGTCTCAGCTGTGGCCATACAGCAAACATCTTGCTTGGTTGTTTGCCTTTGATCTGATTAAATAGACCTCCATCAACTTTGGGATAGAGAGTACACTTTTAATACGAGGGAATTTATCGAACAGTAGGGGTTTGAATTTAGCATAGAAGACCATGTGATCTTTTTCTAAGGAGAAAAAAGTGATCCTAAGCACTGGAATTCGCATGAATTGTTCATTTTATAATGTTTTACTGCATGTTCTTTCTATTACAACGTTGCTAAGATACGCTTCTTTATATTTATTTAATTACCAGAGATTTAACACTTAAAGATAATATCATTTTTTAATATTTGTGTTTTCCGTTATCGCGGCGTATTCCATTAAGCCATTTTTGCTGTTTCAATAGCGCTAAAAAAAGTCGGAAATGTGTACAAACTTCCCGCAAAATACAACGGAAAGAGGTCAGCCACTTATAAATTTCACAACCAATTGTAACTCAAGTAAGTGGCATTAGGAAATTGCAAGTCAGATTCATTATTAGATACGGACATTTTTTCTTGGTTTAATAAAACGTGCGAAGTAAGCGCTGACTGAAAAGAGGACGCCTGTCTAAACAAGCTTTTCTCATAGATTTGCACAATAGACAGATTCATCTTTCAATCGCCATGCTGAATAATCCCTTAGTTCTTGAGTCAACCGTGCACGACGTCTTGGTTAAACAAGTGAAATTGATACGCCAGTGTCATCTTAGTATTCCGCTCGCTTCGTTCGATTTCCTTGGCTAAAGTCATCTTGTAACGTAGGATAATTGTCTTAAGCATGCTCTGTCCAATCATAGCCGGATTATGGCGAGTGTAAGAGAAAAATGTCACCTTTTCTATAGAGCTTTGTAAATCTCTGCTCACGTTGCTAAGGAATTACTATTATTATCTTGGGAAAATGGCATATGAGGACTTCTGCTCTTGGAGGCAATAAAAGGCCAAGGAAATAAAGAGCGATCATCCTTTCTGACACTCGGCCGATTAAAGAGAACGTGTTTGTAATAACTTCACTGCATTCACGACAAGATTGAACAAGCTCTGGATTTGGTACAACCGAAAAAAAATGGCCGCTGGAGGTGTTTCTTTTATTTACATAGTTTTGTCTTCCATCATGTACAAAAGCTTAGCTCTTCCTGCTGCGCTGCAATCAGGTGAGTATTCCTATGAATTTTTCTCTAGAGGTCAAATTTGACGAGGGTTGCTAATTTTAACTCATATCAAAATTACATTTAGGGAGTCATTTCTTTTTCAGTTACCACACGAAAATTAATTAATCAGCTGAAAGAAAATTTTTCACTTTCCGCTAGTCTCTTTTGGATTCAGACTATTCTCCAAACTTTTGCCACATTTTCTGGATAATCAAACAACAGCTACACATTTCCTTTAGTCATCTTCTGGATTCATTTATGTGAAATAATTAAATTCGACTCTGAAAAGTACATGAGTGGGAACCTATCTAGCAAAGTTTGTGGTCTAAAATAAAAGTGTAATAATAGTCAAATGTCAAGAGAATATAAACTGCAGTTTATTTTCTCTTGTAAATGTTCATTAACTTTCTCAGTGCCTGGTTGGCATTTTTGACAAGGTCTTGACATCTTCGACAAGAGAGCGTCCTAAAAATAATTATAAGAAGAAATAAATAAATAAAACAAAATCAAGAAAGGAAAAAGAAAATTTCAAAGGTCAAGCTGATAACAAGTCTTTAAGCCATTGTCGGTAATATCTCCAGATGTGACATTCAGGGAGTTTATTGACCTTTTCAAGACAAACAATTTTAACAGGGAGTACTGTAAAGAGAACAACAGCAAACGGTGAAGGAACTGATTTAACATCGAGTTCATTGCAAGGCCTGTTTAACCTGACCAGGAGCCCATTAATGGCAATGGGCTCCTGACCTGACATAAATCACTGATAATCTGTACATGCATTCAGCTGTGATTACAACACGGAAAAGACCGATTGTGTTTTCTTCAGCCTCAAGGCAATATCTCCTTAATTTCTAAATCAACTTTCTTTAGTGATTACTCACGTGAAGACACGTCTATCGAGGCCATTCTCAAACCTTCCGGAGCCGCATTTAGTCTCTAATAACACAGAAGAAATAGTGCTGCTCGCGCGTGCAATGACACTCGAGTAATTCCCACGCACTGCACGCGCGAAACACGCACGCGTCGTCGACCTATTACTTCCCTAAACTTGAAGAGTCAAAATGTTTTGTTTATCTATCTCCATAACATTCAAGCGTTGTGTAAGTGAAACTGTTTCGTTTTCGTCTCAGTTTTTTGTGTTAACTAATTGTGCAACACACATAACAAAGTGCACATTGATTAATGTTGCCTTAGAGCGGCAAGAAATTAGTTCTGTGTTCCATACTTTATTGAAGAAATGTAAAATGGTTTCCGTGTTTACATAGCCTCATATAAACACGCAGGAGGTTGGGAGAACACGAGATAAGCGTAAGGAAACCACGACGCGAAGCGGAGTGGTTTCCAGCTTATCGAGTGTTCTTCCAACCTCCCAAGTGTTTACATCAGGCTATGTAAACACGGAAACCATTTTACATTTCTTTTATAAAATAACTAATGAAAGAGGAACGAAAACCGTGTTTACATACGCTCATGTAAAATGGCTTTATGGCCAATCAGAGCGCGCGTACTATTTGAATTATTTTATAAAAGTAAATAAAACTCAGTGTCAGAGCGTCGTCAAGGCTGGCAGAGAAAGATCAACTGGAGTAGAGAAAAAGAGGCCAATCCACCACTGTAAAAACTCTTTCATCTTTTCAGTAAAAGGAAACAATGAAGAGGAAGGAATAACAAGTCATCTGGACAGAGCCAATAAAGGTTACAACGTAGCACAATAGATCGCCTTTTTATTGAGTGTCGCAAAGCCAAAAACCAAAGTTATCATGACAGCCAATAAGGAGAAAGGAAAATACCTTTAATACCTTTAAGAGCCAATGAGATCTCAAAGTAAATTCAACCAAACTACCTTAAGCGCGGGAAAACGCGGGCGACCAAGTCGTGACTGGTTTTAGTTTTGCATCTTATTGGATGAGAAAGAGGCACAAATTTTCTAGATCAATCACAGAGCGAAGTAAAGCAAAATCAGAGTGATTTCGGATCACTTTCGACACTCGAACGTTTCAGCAAAGAGATACAAAAACTGAAAAATTGTCTCTGAAAGCAATTTTGCATCTTTAAAATGTGACTGACAACTAAGATATAAGACAGTGAAAAACTGCCGTTTTAAGCTTAAAATCATTATTTTACTTTTGTATCGATAAGATTTGAACTTTGTGGAAAGTTTTTCGTCTGGAGCATTGGTATGTAATTTTAATAGTTTAAACGTAATCGAACATTTTTTATTTCATCATCTTCTCATTTTTATGTCCAAAATTTCAGTGGTCGCTAATTCTCTGTTTGAGGGTGATATCAAGTTATCCCCGTTTGATCTGAGGTTTGTGGACACGCGAGAAGAGGGTGACGTTGATGGGGAACTGGCGCCAAGTCGACAGAAAAGGAATGCTAATCGCAATAGGATGGTTCTATGGCAAGACAAAGTTGTTCCTTATAAGTTTGATTCGAGTCTTCCAGGTAAGAGGAAATCAGCAGCATGTTTAAAGGTATGATTCTCACAACAGCACGGACCGTTAGTGGACAAAGTACATGGAACCTTGACAAAAGTCAAATGGATACCTGCCTCGAGGAAGTTTAGAAGAATAGAACGCGCTGCGATTAAGGTTATGACTGAAGCCCAATCAGATTAAAGGAAATAGTCACTAGCAACCGGACAAACACGAAATCTGCTTCAAGCGCGAAAACGCGAGTGATCAAGTAGCAGTAGTCGCGATTGGTTTCAGTTTGAATCTGATCGGTCGAGAAAGTGCATGGTGCAAGCTTTCTAAACCAATCACACAGCGAAGTAAATTAAAACGAAAGTAGCCCTGGATCGCTTTCGACATCCAATTGAAAAGTTGGCACGCCATTAACCAGAAATCTACACGTATTGGCTTTATCCTTTTGGCCACAAGTAAAAGTGTAGGAGGGAGTCTCATTAACAGTTTGACCGCCACTCGTGTCTAGCATCTAATTTCTCCTTACAGTATCATCCTTATTCAAGCATTAAGGTCAGGAGAATAAGGGAAGTGATCACCAACTAAAGAAGCTCTTGATTATCAAACAAATTCTCCTCGTCAGTAGCTCAGGGTATGAATGGAGAACAATATCTAGAATATGCATTTTGATGTAAGGGTGTAAAGGGTTTGATAAATGGTAGAAATTCTGTGGTTTTCTGATGAAGGAATAGTAAAGCATTTTTTATATATCTCTTTTACAGCTGATTATCAGACTGCTGTACACGAAGCTATGGATGAATTCCGCAAACACACTTGTTTAAAGTTTGTTGAAAGAACCAAGGAGCCAAACTGGCTGCTTTTTGTAAAAAAAGATGGGTAAGCTGATAAAAATGGGCAATGAAGAACTAAACTTTAGGAGTAGGTTTTGACCTTGTCAATCGAGAGTGGGATTTAGCCACGCATTTTTAGTTTGCCATCAGAACGACCTTCACAGAAAATCGAAATTTGACAGTAACTTCTGAAGATAAACTGTGCAGGGCTATGGGATATGTTTACTGCTTTGGAACACTCATCTTGGGGAATAGATATAATATGTTGCGTTTCAATGTCAAAGCAGCTTGTCCGATCACAAGAGGAATGGAGGCGTTATCCCAAGAGTGCTATTCCAAGTAGTTATACCAAGCAGAAATTCATTAATCAAATCAAAAAGTTCACCATAGCAGTGACTTCCCGTAAAAGGTCATTCAAACACTTCAGCAAGAATATTTCTGTAGTCAGGTTGACTGTCGACGTATCAAAATTCGATTCCATCAAAAATCTTTAACTTCAAGCTGATATTCTCAACTCGATAATTATTGACTTTGGCTAGCTCAGTAAGAGAGCTGTGTCTGTAAACTTCTTTTGCTAAGAAAATTATTGTCGATGTTGCCTGAAACCTAATTCATAAAAAGAAATTAACAGCAGGAAAATATTACTTTTTATTTTTAGATGCTGGTCTAGTGTAGGTAAAAAATATTGGAGAGTCAACTATGGACAAGACGTTTCCTTGGGCAGCGGTTGTAATCACAAAGGGACCATAATGCATGAAATAATGCATGCAGTTGGCTTTTGGCACGAGCAGTCGCGACCAGACAGAAATCAGTATGTCGAAGTGCTATGGGAGAATATTGTGGAAGGTACGTTATAATAATATATAATGGTAATAGGACCGAGTGGAGTCCAATTCCGTCTGTAATCATACGAGTGATTAACAAAATAGGACGACCGCGAAGCGGAAGTCCGATTTGTCAATCACGAGTATGATTACAGACAGAATTGGACGACACGAAGTCCTGTTATTAATTAATCACAACTATGACAAAATTTGAGAAAGAAACTAGACATCGGTTATACGTTTTCACAAAAACAACAGTTAACTCGGCGAAATGCGCGTCCTGTCCACTTACACAGGCACGACGTGTTAACTGTCCTTTAACTGTCCTATTACACTGTCCACTTACAGGCATGACGCAATGACGCGTACGCTGTCCTATTAGTGCTCAAATCGGGCTGGTGATAACCAATCACGTTCGAGAATTCGTTATAGTTTTGATTAATATATAATCCTTTGTCTTTTGTCGTAAAGCCAAGCTTTAAATAATTATATCTGAATTATTTTCCTTCAAGTGAATAAAATCGTTTATTACAGCTAAGTTTTTGTTCCGTTGGGGTTTTGAATAGAATGATACCTGGGTGCACGTAGATGTGGAGTTCCTCTTCGAGTGTTCGACTCGATAGCCTGTAACCAGCTTTAATTCAAACCCTTGTCGTTGCGTAAGGTTCGTTTTTTGAGAGTGTTCAAGCTATGTAATGACGGGCCCAAATCACTTGGTATTTTCAGCAAGTTCTTTGACAAGACAGTGCAAGTTTTTTTTTTCCACTAATCAGTAACAATTGCAGATACACCCTCAGACACACAACTGAAACGTTGCTCTTTAAATCTGTATTTAACTGCAGGCGAGGCACACAACTTCAACAAATACGATCGCGGCAAGATTGACACTCTTCAGGTACCATACGATTATGACAGCATTATGCATTACGGCACTAACGGCTTCTCCAAGAATGGAAAACCAACCTTAAGGTCGATCAGGGACCCTTCAAGATCTCTTGGTCAGAGAAATGGCTTCACGGCGTTAGACATACAGGAAATCAACGCCCTTTACGAATGCGGCAGTAAGTCTCGTGATCAGTTTTAAATTTTTGATGACATCAGCTCATCATTCATAAGTTTTGTAGTATTGTCTCATGGGCCTCCTGAAAAAGACCAACAGTTCCAGTATATTCCTTCAATTAGAAATGTTGATGCTCTGGAGCGTTCGATCATTGCCTAGGGGCCAGCTTTTACTTGCGTTCTCTTTTTCGTTTGTTCATTGGGGACGTTCAGCAACTTCGAGATGTTAATTCTCGTTGATGTGGCCATTATGACAAATAGAAAACGAAACGATAAGGAGAAAAAAATCTTCTTTGTTAGCGTAATGTCAGGAAAACGACAGAAATGACCAATGTATTTTAGACATTGGTTCCTGATCACACCGGTTGATAAACAACAGAAACGACATCATAGCCCTACCGCAGTAGCACATGAGGAAGCAGCAAGGCAACTGTAACACATTGGATATATGTTTGTAATTCGTACGAAGTAGTAATGGTGGGTAATATTTCTAAATCCTTTTTTCATTTTAGGTGGTATAAGCTCAAGCAAGCCTGGATGGAGTAGTTGGTCAGAATATGGACCTTGCAGTTCCAGATGTAGAAAGACTCGTCAACGATTCTGCGCTTCTGCAAACAAGGATGTAGACTGTCCAGGCCAGTCATATGGAGTGGAAACAGAAGAGGTAGCCTGCACTGATCAGGAATGCAAAGGTGAGCGGGTAATCAAGGGGTGTTGATATTATTCTCTGCACCTTCAGTTCTGCGCATCACAGTGTACAAATGTGTATTATACAATGAGGTAGTCTGCTATGGAAGATCCACTAAAGATGGGTAACTGGCTGTTTTTTTGCAGAGATAGCCCCACTCTCCCCTTGACATGTCTTTTTGCTTGTACTCGGTCACATCCTGTCTCCTCCTGATGCTGTAAAATGTAAAAGAAAAATTTGATTTTGATCTGACTGGGCATGCGCCTTATACAACAAAAATTTAATCCTGCGTTTTGATCAATACAGTACACTTAATTTTTAAAACTGTACTTTCTGCTTCTTTTCAGATTCGTACCTTTAACCGATGGAATTAACACTTACTCTTTTTTTTAAGTCGCACAGACCGTAGCCTCGTAACTCCCCGGACAACGTCATCTTTGCTTATTTACTTAATTTAATTTAATTTCGAAACATTATAACGGAGGACGGAGGAACGATGAAGTGAAAAGAAAAACTTATATAAAATTCTGTTCATAAGAAATCACCTTAATCACCTTTGGCAAATAACGATCAATTGTCACCATAATATCTCAAAAATTATGCAATTTAATGCACATTACAGCCCCTATAGATGGTCACTGGGGACGCTGGTCAGCATGGAGTACTTGCAGCAAGACCTGTGGAAATGGGACTAAAGTTAGATCTCGCCAATGTGATGATCCGACCCCGGCTAATTCCGGAAAACTCTGCTCTGGAGATGATAAACAACAGGCAGCTTGTATAAAAGGAAGGTGCGGCTTAGGTGAGTAGTACCAGACTCTTCTTGTACTTTACATACCACAAGGGAATGGGGCTGACCTTGGACGAAAACTTGCTATTTACAGAGTCTAGGTCTTACGAGCAAAACTAGTAAGCATCCAGTGAAAAGTGAGCAATTGTCTTTCCTGTTGAACAGGCCCTAATGATTGTGACTTTGACTTCGAAGAGGATGGATTCTGCCGTTGGTCCAACGTCCAAGTTTACAGCAGTGACCGATTTAAGTGGCAGCGAGGGTCTGGTGCAACACCCAGTAGCAGCACTGGGCCTTCCGCAGACCACACGACAGGCGCAGGTACGAATATCTTATCCATGTAAGTATCTATGTTAAATATGAATAGCGTTGTGTATACGTCATATTTGCCGCACCCCAGGCAGCTATCTCTACGTCGAGGCTTCTAGTCCTGCTCAGGAGGGTGATCAGGCTAGGCTACTCAGTGAGCAATTCCCAGCGACCCAAGGCCGGTGCTTATCATTTTGGTACCACATGTACGGCTCATCAACCGGGACCCTAAATGTTCTCATCTTGGACAAGGACGGCACGTCAAATCTTGCTTGGTCCAAGTCCGGTGACCAGGGAGATCAGTGGAGAGAAGCTAAGTTGACACTTGAAAGCAAAGTGGAATTTAAGGTAAGATAATGTATTTCTCGGCCACTCGCGAGGTAATCGCTATACCCACAATGCTTTGCCAATCAGCATATTTTCAATCATGTGAAATATCAAGACGATTTTGCGATCTTACAAGGCTCTTTAAATAAAGAGTTCGTCAACACTTCCACGGTTTCACCGCACCTTTAACACCCATGAGTAACCAACAAATAAATTTCTCCCTACGATATCAATAGAAAATCAAGCAGACAAAGTGATGGGAATAGAGAAAAAATCTTTTAGGGGATTATTTTATCTAATATCAAATTCTCCGATTTAACATTGTAAGAATTGTATGGCAGACAGTAAGGAGAACTGCAAATGAGATCTTGGGAGTAGAAGGGTGTAAAAGGAACACTTTCACCGTTGTGAATGATTTCCCAGGTTGCCATCGAAGCCATCAGAGGAAATAGCTTTCGAGGTGATATTGGACTCGATGATATTCGTTTGACTGAGGGGCCATGCAGTAAGTTTCATACTAGTTTATGTTTTCATATTTTCTTGTTAACAGGTTCTGTTATACCCATAGGAAACTTAAATGATTGGCAGTTTTCATTTTGTTTCAATGGCACCTCGTGATCAAGTTATCTTTAATCTCCTTACCTCAGTGGTTTATGAATTAGTTCTAGCACGCTTTTGTAAATTTTAACAAGTGCTCATGATCACATTCCAAGCTGTACTTGTTTTATTAAAGCTATTACGATGCGTTCAAGTATCTCCATTAACTTTAGAATTTGTTTGAAAGTTGTTACACTTACAAAGGTTTAGAAAGGTACAACCTCGCTTGGGGAGATGGTTTTAATTTATCAATAAGTTCTTCTCTCATGAAATTAAATGCAGTGGACAGATTTAGAGAAGAGGAGATTTAAGGGTGATCTATCATACTTTACAGTGGAAGAGGTTGGCTGCTTTAAAGATAACACAAAGGATCGAGTCTTTCCAACAATGCTGAAAAACTTGCGGCCCGAGATAGATTGGTATCATTTGGAAAAAACCATTCAGAAGTGTGCTTTACTGACCAAACAACACGGTTATCAGGCAAGCTCCTCTTTAAATTGTGAATGTTCATTTTGCTGCCTAAGGCTTAATTGCCCAATTCAAGTTTTCAAATGAAGCCACCTGTAAATTAGGTTTCCTTGAATTTGTAGGTGATTTATGCTGGCTAGAGGTCCGTACGAGAAAAACAGTACCTGAGGTATTGAATACCGTCTGAGGCACATTCAATTTTTTTCCATACGGACCGGCCCAGACCGGTAAACAATTTAATTATTTTTTTCTGCTGATTTGATTTTTTTCGAACTGTGTTCCGTATTGTATAAGGCTGGATCGGTAGCAAGCGTGCGATTCGTTAACCGGATTCAAGGCCTGATGAGATGCTTAAAAAAATAATAATAACATCCCCCCCGTTCATTTTTTTCGGCTTCTACCTCCTCGCTATGTTAAACATGTTTTCCTTTAAGTGAAGGTCTGTACAATTTTTCCCTTTTCAGGTTTTCGCTATTCAGTTTTACGCGGAATGTTGGAGTGGAGATATATCCAAGGTGAAATATGATCGTTGGGGTGCAGCTGACAAATCCAAATGCCCATTTGGAGTTGGAGCAGCGAGAATTAATGCCGTTTACAGACTTCTGTCTTAAATGCCATAATTAAAGATTTTCTCGTGTCATAAATAATCAATCTTTGTTCATTAGTATCGGAAATGCAAAAGAGTAAAAGATAAAGAAATGGGTGTTATGAGTAAGAAATGACAATAAACTATTGCATGCCAGTGAGATATCATCTTGGAGGACCGAAAGTATAGAAATATAGTCATCGTATATCAAAAAGACGTTTAAACGGGTTGTTCGAATGAAATCAACGTACTTCTTGCAAAGAGAATGTGTGCCTATTGAACATGGTTGGGTAGAGAATCAAGCGTCTTCGCTTCAGTAGAACGAAAATATCTCGTCAAGGTGTAAGGTTCTCAACTGCTCTTCGTAACTACACTTAGTAGCTGCCCCCACCCTACCCCTTGAGAGTCTGTCGTCGCTCGTTGGGGCAAGCTTCAGCCATCACTAATATCGTAGAAACCTTATCGCCTTTTGTTTATATCAAAACAAGTCAAAAACTACCCCCGCGGCTGTTCG